TCTGAACCCCTAACCCTTCAAGGGGATGCGGTGGCTCCGCTGGAGCAGCTGGACTCACAGGAGTTCCACTCACTCCTGGACGCCACCATGTCACGGTCGGTCACCCAGGCGATTTATTCTGCAATGGGGACTATGTCCGACAATCTCTCTCACTCCATCACTACTGCTCTTAAGGCATCCACCACCAATTTGCCCCGCGCTAGAGCCGTGGCAGACGGGTCATTACGCAGGGAAGGCCGGAAGGCCATAAGCAAAACCCATCACGTGCAAACTCCTACCTCCAAAAAAGAATTGACGGACAGGGTACGTCCTGTCACCGCTGAGGTCGTGGGGCCCCCACGAAAGAGAGCCACCCGCCGGGCAAAAGCGGCGCGGACGTGGAAGAGGGCAAAAGCCCTGTCAGATTCTTCCGACACTGATTCGGATAGTGAGGAGGTGTTGAACGAGTCCGACGAGATCGACTCAAATGAATGGGAGGTCTCCTCCCCGGACCATAGTCCGTCACGAGATCCAAATACCCTAAGGTATGATAACGCGGATTCGTCCGCCATTTTGGATCCACAGGGCGAACCTCTGTTCGATCCCGATACATTACAGAACCCTAGGTCAGCAGAGTGGTTCCCAACTGAGCATGTGGCACGCTACATAGCAGCTAGAATCCGTAAGCCTTTAGATAAGGCCACCAGGAACAAGTTGCGGGCAGAATGCCCACGGCCAACAGTCCCCGACATGGCCTGTGCCACGCCGGATATAGATCCCAAGGTAGCGCAGTTCCTGGGAAAAACTGGCTGGAAGGCAAAGAAGGGATTGGATTACTCCCTACGCCACTGCCAGGACAAGGTACTCGATACACTCGGCCCTAGTGCCAAAATCTTCGAGCTGGTTGAAGCAGCCTTAACTGAGGGGACACCGTTAGATTTGCTAGCCATTAGAGGCTGGGCCCAGAGATCCATTTGCCTCATCGGCAACGCTAACGCTGCGCTAGCCACTGAGCGGCGCAAAACCATCCTTATGAAAATCGAGCCCAAGCTCGTAAACATGGCCCTCACCGAACCGGGGCCACAAGCCAAAGGTCTCCTATTCGGGGACAATTTCGTTAAGGAGTTAAGCACTTACGTAAGCACGTTTACGGCCCTAGACAAGGCACAGACAAGCATAAAAAGAGTGTTCTCTCCCAGAGTTTTTGGTGGGGCCGGCAGACACCGGGGCCGTCTGCCCGGCCGTTCATCCCGTGGTTCATACCGGGGATACCGAGGTCCAGCTACGGCTAGATTTCAGCCGCCAGAAAACAGAGCACCCTCGCCCTTTTTTCCGGTCAGAGGCAGACCATGGCAACCTCGAGGAACCAGAGGCACCTCATACAGCCGACGGCCTTATGGTGAGTGCAATACCTTTCCCCTCCCCGGGTATACACAGCGTAGGGGGCAGACTGTTACACTTTATAGAGGTCTGGCAACACTTGACAACAGACTCTTGGGTCCTAAATACTGTAGTAGGGTACCGCATAGAGTTCGTACAACCCCCTGTCCAAACTACCTGGCCACACCGAATAACATTCTCCTCACACGACAGGGACCTGGTGACCAAAGAGATCCTCTCACTCCGAGAAAAAGGCGCAATATTTCAGGTTCCCTCACCCTTCCCGGGGTTCATGAGCAATCTATTTCTGGTACCCAAGAAGGGAGGCGGAGTCCGCCCAGTCATCAACTTGCGGCCCCTAAACGCATTTGTCCGATACCGCCATTTCAAAATGGAAGGTATCCACTGCTTACGAGACCTGCTCAGATTGGGGGACTGGATGGTCAAACTAGACCTGCAAGACGCCTACCTCACGATCCCTATAGCGGAAGAATGTCGCCACCTACTCCAATTCCAATGGCAAGGAGCGACATGGAGATTCCAATGCCTGCCCTTCGGACTCTCATCAGCCCCTTGGTGCTTCACCAAGCTCCTAAAACCAGTGGTCGCGTTATTGCGCAGCAGAGGCATACGAATGATCATATATCTGGACGATATGCTGCTCATGGCGCACGAGGCCTGCCAACTCCGACAGCATCTATCCTGGGCACTGACCCTGTTAAGAAATTTGGGATTCCTCATCAATTGGGAAAAATCGGTACTTACCCCATCTCAACACATGGAATTCCTGGGATTCCACATAGACGCAACGACCGGGACGCTCAGTTTACCAACAGACAAAGTCAAGAGCATAAAAAAGGAGATCCGCAGAACACTGACAAGACCAGTGTTAACTCTGCGACAACTAGCCAGGGTACTTGGACTCCTATCAGCCTCCATCCAGGCCATCTTCCCGGGGCCTCTACATTACAGGGCTCTGCAAAGGCTAAAAGCCTCACATCTACGCTCAGGGCACTCATACTCCGACTCCGTCCCACTCGACCACGCGGCCAGACAGGAACTCACCTGGTGGCTGCATCATATGGAAGCATGGAACGGCAGGGCTATCTTCGGAACTGCCCCGGACTTCATCATAGAGTCCGACGCACGGTTGGGGAGCGCGCTGCGGGCCTACCTCCACCGGAGGCATCTGGTCATGCTCAGAGAAAGAGTTACACATCAACAGCCTGGAACTCATGGCGGGGTCATTCGCCCTGAGAAGCCTCCTCGGAGCCGCAACCAACTGCTCCATTGTCCTGCGAATGGACAACATATCTGCAGTCCGATACATCAACCACCTCGGTGGCACAAAGTCAAGGATCCTGGCGGACTTGGCCAAAGACTTTTGGCAACATTGCCTGGCACGCAATATTTCGGTACAAGCGGAATACATCCCGGGCATGTCCAACATAGTGGCGGACTGGTACTCCAGACATCTGCGAGACACCAGCGACTGGCGGCTAGACCGCAGTGTGTTCTTACGACTTCAGACGCTCTGGGGCCCGATGCAAATCGATCTCTTTGCGTCTCGTTTGAACTCCCAATTGCCAACATTCTTCAGCTGGAGGCCGGATCCAGACGCCCTGGCAGCGGACGCTTTTCTCCAACACTGGCCACACAACAGATTGTATGCATTTCCTCCGTTCTCCCTCATAGCTCGAACACTGGTGCACCTCAGGCGGACTCAAACGTCATTGGTCCTCATAACCCCGTTTTGGACAGCTCAGCCGTGGTTCCCCACACTCATGGAGATGTCTATAGACCTTCCGAGACACTTACCAGACGTCTCATACCTTTTAGCAGATCCAGAGGGCAAACCACACCCCCTGTTGGTACAGGGGCAACTCAAACTTTTAGCATGGTTGCTTTCAGGGGACCATGGAGCGTCCCAGAGGTTCCACAGGAAACTATCGATCTACTGGCAGGAGCTTGGGCGCCTGGAACGAGACGCTCCTACCTCTATGCCTGGAACGGATGGAGTAGTTGGTGCATGGAACAGCAGGTGGATCCCATATGTGCTCCTATAAATTACCTGTTGCGCTTCCTTACCAACCTATACAATCAAGGTTTGGCCTATCGCACCATCAACGTGTACAGGTCTGCAATCTCAGCGGGACACCGGGGAATAGATGGGACCCCAGTGGGTCAACAACAATTGGTATGCCGTCTCCTTCGAGGTATTCGGTTTGCTCGTCCACCGCAACCCCGATACACGTCTCTATGGGACGTCAACTCAGTTTTGCAACTGTTGGAAACTTGGCCACACAATGAGACACTCACACTGAAACAACTGTCAGTGAAACTAGTCATGCTCCTCTGCTTGATCTCTTGTAAGAGAGTGTCAGACGTCAGAGCGTTGGACGTTGATGCAAGATCCTTTACTCCCACGGGGGTTTCATTCAACATCTCCAGACGTACAAAGTCATCAATTACCTCAGTTTCGTATCCAGCATTCCCGCATAACCGTAAACTCTGCCCGGTGGTTTGCTTGAAGGAATACGAGACAAGGACCCTGGAATTCAGAAACCCGATGCACCCGGAATTGTTTTTAGCTATCAAACAACCCCACCATCCCGTATCCACGGTAACTCTCGCCAGATGGGTGAGATGGATAATGGCTTTAGCCCACATAGATACAACTGTATATGGTGCACACTCTACCAGGGGGGCCATGGCTTCAAAGGCTTTTAATTTAGGTTGTAAATTGGAAGATATCATGAAAACAGCAGACTGGTCTAGGGCATCGACATTTAAGGAATACTACTTTCGACCTACAGAACATGTGTCAAGTTTAGTTATTGCACAGCTTTAAACTAGCCTAATAAGAGCCTCCGTGTCCTTTAATAAAATTACCAGATTTTACTAATTACATGACGTAAAGTCATGATTTTATAAAGGACACGGAGGCGAGTATTAGCCCACCCAGGGCAGATACAACAAAACATTTGTATCCCAACCCAGGTACGTAATAGAGACTTTTTCGTAAAATGAATTATCATTGATATAGGGTATATGTGTTACGCTATGGTAAATCTATCAAACAAGTAATGATTGCATGTTTAATATATGACTGATTACATAAACAGCTCATCTTTTAATACCATAGTAAGATGAAAATAGTTGGCAAAGACACGTTTTACCATTTGTTTTCTTTGTCTTTCCAGCATGAAACACAGCTAAAAGATACCCACTGATGACGGGAAATAATCCCGCAGTTTTGAGAGGATCAGTTTCGGAAGATCACGCGTTGTTTGTGGACGGATTCAACTTCAACGTCAAGTATCCAGTTGTCAACCGTTGTGTGTTTTGGTTATAACGAATTTGTTACATGCTAATGGTGATTTGTTCGCTTCGGCATCATCAAGAAAGAGGAAGAGGAGGAGGTTACATGAGAGGATATCAGAGGTGGACTGTTCCTATTGGTTAAGAGATAATGATGTAAGGTTAACCCTGTGAGGGTATTTATGCATGTTTTTTTCTACAAATAAACACCTTAGCTTTCTTTGCTGCTGAGGAATAAAAGAAAGAGATAAGCCTAATACTCGCCTCCGTGTCCTTTATAAAATCATGACTTTACGTCATGTAATTAGTAAAATCTGGTAATTGTCCGCTTGGACAATTCCTGGTATTCTTCGCGTAAATCACCCCAAAAAGCAATAAGAGAAACTTCTTTAAATTTTTGGGTTAGTTGACTGTCAGAAGTTATAAAGCGATCAGATTATCAAAATCTACATCAGAAGAATTGGCTGGCCTGTCTTTTATAAATGGATTTCAAACCCAGTCATTATTGTTTTCATTCAAGAATGGAAAATACTGATTAATAGATGTTATTAGTGATTAAATGACGAAGATGATCTACAATTTCATTGCAAATTTCATCTTCAAGTTCAATTTCTGATTCTTCAAGAAAATCCTTAAGTGTTGGCAAAGAGTTCAAATTATTTTGCTCAACAGAAGAGGTCCGAAACTGCAACTTACGAGACAGTGAAAATATTTAACTCTTGCATTAAAAATCTTATTATTTTTTCTTTGGAGTGATAAACATACGTCATTTAATTTTGTGAATATGTCTTCAAGATATGCTACTTTGGATAACCACAGAGTGTTTGTTAATTGATCAGATAATCCAAATTTATGATCCTGGAAATTTGCAAACAACTCTTGATGCAATTCAAACATTCTAACAATGACTTTACCTCGTGATAGCCAATGGACTTCTGAATGCAAAAGCAGAGCAGAGTGGTGACTACCCATATCTTCACATATAATTTTAAATAGTCGTGACTGTAATGGTTGACTTTTTATACAATTAATCATCTGGACCGATTCATCTAGCACAGTTTTAAGTGAGATTGAAATATTTTTAGCTACCAGTGCATGTCTGAAGAACACAGTGAGAACTGGTGCTGTTTTTTGCTACATTTCTTATTTGTGTCACAGCGCCTGCCACATTTCCAACCACTGCTTTGGAACCATCACTGCACACATCTACACATTTGTCCCAATTTAAACTGTGTGCTCATGAATGTCTGGATACAGTTAAAGATGTTCTCACCAGTGGTATGAGTTTTCAAAGTTTCACACAGAAGCAAGTCTTCTTCAATCTGTTTGTGAAAATTATATCTAACAAAAACCAACAAAATTGAAAGTCCTGCAACATCTGTGGACTTGTCCCATTGCAGTGAGTACCCATCACATTGATGCAGTTGAGAAATTAGTTCAGTATGGATGTCATCAGCAAGATCATGAATCCGGCGCAAAACTGTGTTGTTGGCAATTTTTTTACTCAACTTCTCACTTAAAATACATGACACTATTTTTTTTAAAAACATTTTATTAGAGATTCCCCAATTGTGTGTGCTTCTCCTGCAAGTGCTTCTTTGTTGGACGCTTTCCCCTAGTTTATTGCCAGAACTTACTCTGTAAGAAGCCTCTGTTGCTTTTTCATTAGCATTTTGAAATTTTTTGCTCATGAATAGTTTATTCTTCTGATACTCCCTTAGCTTTCACTTAAAAAAGTCAATGTCTTTATCTTTGTGCTCTGCTGTGTTTTGCTCAAAATTATGACATAATTTAGCAGGTGCTAGCGGGCCCAGATTGGCCATCGGGCACACCGGGCATATGCCCGGTGGGCCGCGGTGGCCATGTGCTGAGGCCGGTAGGGGAGATCATAAGATCTCCCCTGCCGGTCTATGCAGGGCCGGCACTGTCTGAGCGCCGGCCCTGCAGTAGTCCACGATGGGCCGGTGGGGAGATCAAAGACACTGACAGCACCCCCACACACACACTGCACCCCTGACACTCACAGCACCCTCACACATACACACACTGCATCCCTGACACTGATAGCACCCACACACACACACTGCACCCCTGACACTGACAGCTCCCCCCCCACACACACACTGCACCCGACACTCACAGCACCCTCACTCACACCACCCACACTGTACCAGTGACACTCACAGCACCCTCCCACACAGCTTCCTCACACGCACATAGAACCCTCATGCAAACACTGCACCCTTACCCACATAGCACCCTCACGCAAACACAGCACCCATCACGCACACACACACACACTGCACAATACGTTTTCCTAGCATTTTTGTCTACTGGTATCCCATCTATGGAGACACCAGAGACCAATTTCAAGCAAACAAAGAATAGAAAAGCAGGCCCCATTTACTCTGGCAATAAACTAGGGGAAAGCGTCCAACAAAGAAGAAATAATAGACCCACCCATGGCAAGGCATGGTTCACTTTCCCACCCGTCCTCCCCCACCCCCCTATCCCTATTGTTGAGTTTGTTAGATGTTGTTATGAGAAAACTTCACAGCATGTGAGAACTAAATTCGCTTGTGTTGTGCAGAACAAATACAGGGTCTTTTTCTTGTGCTAGAGCTCTTCAGCAGAGCTCTGCGCATGATCTACCCTGGAAGAGCATTGAACCAAAATGCTCACTTTGTGATGGGGCGTGCTTGTTATTGGTGATGACAAAACACACCCTATCTGGCCCCACCCCCTTTTTAGTGGGCCGCTGTAATTAAATGCCCAGGCCGAATTTTGCATTCCTGCAATGTCACAACAGCAGTTACAGGCTATTTGAAAACAAGTATAAGTTAACATTTGTATGGCATTCGGAGAGAAGCACAGTTTTTTAAAATTTATGAACATGCTAAATACAGGCCAACTTTGTATGTCTTTTGTGGTGGGTCACGTTGGGATCATCAAGCTTGATACAGTAAACATACAGTGATTCTAAAGTTTATAATAGTGATTAGAGGCAGTTAAACATTGCCTAACTAGCTGGACTTCCCTGCTTAAGTTGCTTAAACTAGATTTTATCAAGAGTATCAGACAATGTATTGAGGGAATAGTTAGAGGCTTGTTAGGTTTAGATATCCTGTCAGGGTATTTATATCGGCAGACATTTTGTGCTATGATAGAAACTAAAAGTGTATATTCTGAGTCACCCTGAACAGACCAGACTCCATTTTGTTATTCCAAGTTAACAAAAAAAAAAGACACAAGATTTCTTTCTGTAAGACTAGCCACTTTGCCAGAGCTAAGGAATGCATAGTATAAACAAGTGATAAGAAGCATATAATCAAATCTAAACCCAGACAATTGTGACAGAGAAGATTAAATAATTTAATTTTACTGTCTATATATATATATAAGGTACCATTGTATGGAAAAGGGTAAACTTAGTTCATGATCTGCCATATCAGAAATTATGGCAGGAATTGCAGACGCTAAGTCTGGACAAAATTTAAGAAACCCTTTGAAATTTTAAATTATGGCACTATAAAGATAACGCAAAATGACGTCAAAATAGCCACCAGGAAAAGTTAACTCTTTCCTGGATAGGTATGTTTAGTGGGACAAGACTGCCCTCTATAGATCAAATAACTAAATTGCGATCTGGAAGATAACCACACCTCTAGTGCTTCTATTGGGTTATCGACTGATGACGTACAGAGAGTCTGGCCCTTTAAAAGTTAGGACAAAGGGAAGATTGATATAGGCAAGAGATGCAGGATATGCAAAGGAGAAAGGAAAAGAGGAGAGAGGAGTTGGAAGTTTGGGGACTCCAACCTCCATGCAGAGAGACATCCAAATAAGTTCCTGAGACTACCAATCGGATGAAATATCTACTCAACTGGTAATTATACTGGTTTCATTTAATTAATTAAATTAATTAAAATGTATTAATAGCATTATATATGACTGGATAAAGCACGGTCAGATTTCCATATTAAGAAATCTTAGTTAACTAAAGAATATATAGTTATAAACATTCCATTCTGCAGGTGGAATTAAGAATAATTATATATTAAGGTGATATTATCACGTGTTAGCATACCGCTGTTTTTATCCAGGTGTATTGATTTGCTCTAAATTAAGATAAGATATCTTTTAGACAAATTAAAAACAAACTCTGCTCATAAAATATGGTAGATTCTCTTATTGGATGGTTCCAGGAAATGACTAATGAACTGGTTTAAATGTTATTTTATTTAAAAATTACATAAGAATAGATCTTGATTACCTAGGAGATCTAGCCAGCATTGAAAGGGTCATTCTAACTGTCAGCTAAACTTTACGACCTGACGCTGCACTCTGAAGAATTCTGTTCTCTGAGTGAAACTTTTTCTCTCTGTGAAACATAGTCATAAATAAAGTCTTGACAGAAAATGCTTTTTAGCCATTGAAACGTAATACCCATTCCTTTGTATTGCATACCATTTTATACTGGATATTCATTGATTATTGTCACGCATGTTACATATTATTATTATTAATTAGTCATTATAAATAAAAATCTATTTTTATACATTGTGATATTATTATATGAAATATTTCTCACTTACGATAAACGTTCTTTGGGATCTGAGAATTGAATTAGTGGGCAATTCTCAACTGTTACTATTATTATCCCATAAATAACCCCACAATCCCCTGCTGCCTTAATTCAGGAAGTGCTGCACTGCTGGAAGTTAAAAGTAATAAACAAACAAAGGTAAACAATAGGTGCATGGGGGTCACAGTGTCATATAGATATATCGCGGTGTCATGAATGTTCTGAGAAGGTGCGTTTGCATGTCAGGTTGGCTGCTCCGCTCCACCTGGATGGCAGTCATCCAATACCCTGGCTGGATTCAGAATGTCCGCTTGGATAAAAAGTATGAGGGTGGGGGTTATAGGACAGGTGTGAGGAGACGCCCTTGCCTGCAGTCGGAGATGGGACCAGCATCACGCTGCTACAAGCTCGGTATCTGCAGGAGGATGCGGTCTTTCCCGTTGCTTAAGGTTCTGTGTGTTGCTCTCTTCCGCCAGCATGTTCGGTGCCCTGTGATCGACCCTTGTTTAGCCCGAAGTTTAGGAGTGATCGGCTTAGGGGAGGTAGGTGCCTCCAGGGTTTTTTTCCATGTGTGGGGCCCCGGAAATCTCACCTCACGGTGTTGTGATGTTTCAGGCAGAGGCATTTTGTCCATCACATGCAGCCTCCTCCTTTCCTCCAGTGCAGCCCAAAAGTGGTTAAAGATCACTTCAAGCTGGTCTCCGATATTGTTGTGAGACCCACTGAGGTCCACATTATTGGCCTTGTGGTTCCTTGATGTGTATGTCCGCCATCTTGTTTGGCCACTCGGCCCCCTTTTTGCAGTCTTATTTGAAGACCAGGATTGCTGGGATAGGGCAGATAAGGGACGTCATCACTGGGTTGTGTGGACCGGGATGACCCCCACCGGTCCTGGGGGTGTGGGGGGATTCGGACGCGATATAGCCGGCAGTCCCTGCTGTGAAGGTCGGCCGCCACTCCCAGCCGGGACCGTGCTAGGCCTCCGTCGCTCCGGACCTGTGATCTGCCGCAGTTTGGATCAAGATTGCACCAGCTTGTGCCCGCTGCTTTCTCAGAGTTCCCCGGTATGGAGGGAAGTCTGTTGCAGGTCAGTGTCGGTCGGTTAGCCGGTTTTAGAGTGAAGTATGCGGGGAGCCCTACCTCTGTGCGATGGCCAAGCCCTGCCCCCCTTAAGCAGGATTTTTGAGTTGAGCAAAAATATTTGAATACTTTGAAAAATACAGATCTCACAACCTGACAGCACTGTTTTGCTAACAGCTCAGATTTTTGTAGCAAAAGCAATGTTTTTTTGTGTGTATAGAACTGATTTTATATATATATATATATATATATACACACACACACACACACACACACACACACATACATATATATATATATACACACATACATATATACACACACATACACACACACACACAGAACAAAATTATAAAACGCAACACTTGTTTTTGCCCCCATTTTTCATGAGCTGAACTCAAAGATCTAAGACTCTGTCAGGGACATTGAAAGACTCTGTGAGGGGCATTAAAAGGCACTGTCAGGGAAATGAAAAGGTTGGAACACGCTGTCGTATATGCCGATCCAAAGTGTTCCAAACATGCTCAATGGGTGACATGTCCGGTGAGAATACTGGCCATGCAAGAACTGTGATGTTTTCTGCTTCCAGGAATTGTGTACAGATGATATTTGCAACATGGGGCCGTGCATTATCATGCTGCAACATGAGGTGATGGTCGTGGATGAATAGCACAACAATGGGCCTCAGGATCTCGTCGCGGTATCTCTGTGCATTCAAAATGCCATCAATAAAATGCACCGCCATTTCGCACAGCCATTGAAGAGGAGTGGACCAACATTCCACAGGCCACAATCAACAACCTGATCAACTCTATGCGAAGGAGAGGTGTTGCACTGCGTGAGGAAAATGGTGGTCACACCAGATACTGACTGTTTTTTTTGCCCTCCCCCAAATATACAGTAAAACTGCACATTTTAAAGTGGCTTTTTATTGTTGCCAGCCTAAGGCACACCTGTGCAATAATCATGCTGTCTAATTAGCATCTTGATATGCCACATCTGTGAGGTGGATTGATTATCTCAGAAAAGGAGAAGTGCTGACTAACACAGATTTAGACAGATTTGTGAACAATATTTGAGAGAAATAGGCCTTTTGTGGACATGTCCCTTGCAGAGTCTTTCAATGTCCCTGACAGAGAATTTCAATGCCCCTCACAGAGCCTTTCAATGCCCCTTACAGAGTATTTCAATATCCCTGGCAGAGTCTTTCAATTTCCCTGACAGAGCCTTTTAATGTCCGACAGAGATTTTTTTGTTTTTTTTAATTAAAGTAATTTTTATTCACATACATGTGGAAAATATACATTGTACAGTTTGGATATTCCTATGGTAGGATGTCATTGGTGCAGTTAAGAACATTCCATGCATTGGTGGTTACAACATTACAGCATTTAATCATTGTTTGTCACATTGTGTCTACCCTACCATATGTATATAAGGCACTCATGGCCTTCTGTTATAGTTCTCACATGCTGTGAAGTTTTCTCATAACAACATCTAACAAACTCAACAATAGGGATAGGGGGGGTGAGGGAGGACGGGTGGGAAAGTGAACCATACCTTGCTATGGGTGGGTCTATTATTTCTTCTTTGTTGGACGCTTTCCCCTAGTTTATTGCCAGAGTAAATGGGGCCTGCTTTTCTATTCTTTTGTGCGATAGATTTGGTACATTGTGCGTTGTACATTGTTGTTTTTTCCTCACAATTCTATTTATTTGGTTCATGGTATGAGAACGGCTGTCGAGTCTTCGACAGTTTAGAAATTTTGTGTTAATTCTTAGGGTTTCTATGGCTGTGTTCCAGTTTTCCAAGGCAATTTTCCATATCTTGTTTTTTTGGTTGGCCGCCTTTCTGGCTGCGCATTTGTATGTCCTATTTTGTTCTATTTGTCGAGTGCATTCTTGAATTGTTGGGGCCGTTGTGGATCTCCATGCCTTACTGATTAGCGTTAGTGCTGCTACGGTGATCTGGTAGGAGAGATATGCCGTGGTTGGTGTAGTTGCAGGGGGGGTATTTATGAAGGAGGTATATTTCTGGGGTTTTGGGGAGTTTCATATGCGTTACTGTTGATACTAGCTTAGCTACTTCTTTCCAATAGGTGGATAATCGTGGGCAGGTCCACCAAATGTGGAGCATGTCGCCTTTAGCTTCCAGACATCTCCAGCAGCGATCTGATACTGCGGGGAACATTTTATGTAATTTTGTTGGGACTAAATTTTTTTGGTCAGTTCTATTTGTGAAGAGCAAAACGTGTATTTTTTTTTTGAGTGGTAAATAGTTTTTCCCATTCTGTGTCTGGATAGGTGAGTTTTAGGTCCTTCTCCCAGTTTTGCACAAAAGTTAGGCTTTTGCTATGTGCTCCTGAGTTTAGGCAGTCGTATATCAGGGAGAATGATTTTTTGTTTGGCATTTTTGCTGTTAGTGATCGTTCGAAGCTCGTCAGCCGTTGCTCATTTACAAGTTTTATTGCTGGCAGGTAATGTTTTAGGAGCCATGCTCTTATTTGCAGATATGCATATTCAGCTGTGTTTGGTAAGCTATATTGTTTTTGTAAATCTTGGAAGGTTTTGATATTTTTCCCTTGTACAGTTTGTGCAAAGTGGTATATGTGGTGTTTTTCCCATATATGGGAGTTGAAGTTTGGGATCAGCGACTGTAATGTGGTGATTGTCATCGCTGGCGAGTAATCTCGTGTCATACATAGTTTCGCTCTATGGGTGTCCCAGATGTGTTTTGTTAGAGCGGTCGTGGGTAATATCTTTAGGTTTTTGGGTTTGCTGTGGTGTGGGATCCACATAAGTGATAAGAAATGATGTCCCGGAGTGGCTGCTGATTTTAACGTCACCCACTGTGGTTTGTTTTCTTGTGTTTGTGCTATAACTATAGGGTTAATATTTGCCGCGTGGTAGTATTGGCAAATACTGGGAAGGCTCATGCCTCCTTTCTTGTGGTGTCTGTACATTGTTGAATTGGCTAGTCTTGGTCTCTTATCTGCCCATATGAATTTGTTCAGTATATGTTGATTTTCTGTGCAGTAGGATTGTGGTATTCGGATTGGTAATGTCCGAAAGAGGTATTGGTATTTGGGTATGACTACCATTTTTATTGCAGCCACCCGGCCTGTCCAGGAAATGTATTTTTTGTGCCATCCCTGGAGAAGTGATTGAACTTGTGTCTGTAGTGTTGTATAGTTGGCCTTAAAAAGTTGTTGCACTGATTGCGTGAATTTTATCCCTAGGAAAGTGAGTTGGTCCGTACGCCAGTCATATTTAAATTCAGATTTTAGGGCTTTTGTGTCTGCGTTAGTGAGGTTAATGCCCATGGCTTGTGTCTTAGCCACATTCAATTTATAATATGAGTGTTTACTATAGTCTTCTAGCGTTGATGTGAATTCTTGTAGCGAGATTTTGGGGTCTTTTAGGGTAAGGAGAATGTCGTCAGCAAACAACGTAAGTTTATATTCATTTTTGTGGATTTTTATGTCTTGTATCCGTGGATTATTTCGGATCAGGGCGGTGAGTGGTTCCAGTGCTAAAATATACAATAAGGGGGATAGGGGCCAGCCCTGTCTCGACCCATTGGTTATGTTGAATGATTGAGAAAGAAACCCACCTGTATTGACTTTCGCAGCGGGGTTACTGTAGAGTGTTTTTACTGCGTTTAAGAATTGTGTTGGGAAGCAGAATTTGTGTAGCACCCCGAGGAGGAAAGGCCAGTTGAGCCTATCAAACGCTTTTTCTGCGTCCAAAGACAGGAATATGCTGCCACCCCCTCCCCGGAGGCTGTGCATTAGATCCAGCACCTTCCTAGTTCCATCCGCTCCCTGTCGCCCCCTAGTGAAGCCCACTTGATCGTCGTGTACTATTGTTGGTATAATAGCAACTAGTCTGTTAGCAAAAATTTTTGCAAAAATCTTGATGTCCGTGTTTAATAGTGATATGGGTCTTAGATTTTGGCCTTTTACTGGGGGTTTGCCTGGTTTTGGCAGAGCGGCGATGTGTGCCATTAGCATTTCTTGTGGTGTTTTTCCTGATATTAACATAGCTTGAAACGCTGCATTTAGGGGGTGGCTTAATGTGCTGGAGTACGTTTTGTAGTAAGAATTTGGGAGCCCGTCGGGTCCTGGGGCCTTGCCGGACGGTAGTGCATCAATTGTGGATGTTATTTCCTCCATTGTGATGGGGTTTTGGACTGTTTGTTGTTGGTCTGGGGAGAGGGTTGGTAGGTGCACCTGCGAGAGGAAATTGTTTATCTCTACTGTTGTCAGTTGTCTGTATGTCTGTAGGGCCTCTTCTACCTCTCTTTTAAAGTTATCATCAGTTATCATCAGTTAGTAATGCTTAATTTAGTTTCCAAGGGGCTCGTCCTCTGGTTGGGAATGTGTCCCTCAGTTGTAGGGTTAGCGGCGCGTGGTCTGACCACACTATGTCTCCTATTTGGCAGTCTACTATCTTGGATAGCGTCGGGGCGGATATTAGGACGTGGTCTATTCGAGAGTGTGTCTTGTGTACTGGAGAGTAATGGGTGTAAGTTTTTTCTCCCGGGTGCGTCGTATACCTCAAATTCCGATAATAGTTTAGTGATGGCTGTGCATTGCATGTGTAACATTTTATTTGAGTGTCTGTGGTACAGCTGTTGTGTCTCTATCTTGGTCAATAATATGGTTGAAATCCCCGCATATGACGAGCTGTGTTGACCTGAAGGGGTCTAGTTTCATGAGTATTTTATGTAGAAAGTTCCTCTGGTTAGTGTTGGGGCTGTATACGTTTGCTATGGTATATTTAATGTTGTTTATGTTGCATAATAGTATTATGTACCGTCCTTGGTTGTCTGTTAGTTTGAGTAATCCGAAGGTCTGCGATTTATGTATCAAAATTAATACCCCTCTAGCTTTTGATGTGTGCGTTTAGTGGTATTGTATTGGGTAATCTTTGATACCAAAGGTAGGGACTTTGGTTTTGACAAAGTGCATCTCTTGGAGACACACTACGTCAGCGTGAGCCATTTTTGCATCTTTGAGTAGCATTCTTCGTTTGTGAGGGTTGTTCATGCCCCTCACTTTATGTGAGTAGAATTGTATCATTGGTATTTTCTCTAGGTTGAGCAGGGATGTAGTTTGTCTGGACTTTATCTGTGATAGAATTTATTGCTAGTTCTTGTTGCTTTTTTTGGCGAAGTGTATGGCATGCTAGTTCTGTGCTCTTGGCATTGGTCTGTTGGGAAAGGTGGTGAATTGTGTTGAGGGGCACTGGTGTCCATGGTTGGAAAGGGAGGTTAAACTTGGATTGTGTAAGGGGTTAAGTCCGGGGGTGTGGGTGGGGGAATGTGAATGGGTGGTTTCCCGTTAGGGATGCGATGCCACTAGAGTGCATCATTAGGAACGCACATTAGGAACGCTCGTCCCTGTGGGTGGCTAGTGAGCTATTGTACTCCTGGGTATATATAGACATACAGAGTTATTCCGGCCGTGGTGCCAGGTTTTTGGCGTGCATATGAAAGGTGCCAGTGGGTGGGAATGGTTTCAGGTGCGCCCGATGGGCTTTCTCCTTCAGTCCTGATTTTGGGCAGCTTCTGATTCCCTCGCTCTTATAAGAAGTTTACAGGTGGTTTGGGTCAATTGTTGAGCCTACTTCAGTTTGTGGCTTCTAGCACACTTGCATAAAACAAAGAAAAAGAGAATAACAACGGAAATTCTAACATAACTAAAATGGTCATAACTAATTGGTTTAGAGGCTTCCAATTTTGCTATCCTTCCTGGTCCGCTCTCTCGTGTTTTTTTATTTGGTTATTTATTGGGAATTACATCTTAGCAATCTCAGCCGACATAATGAATTCTAAAGTCATATCATGTGTGCTTTTTGTCGCTCTCCCTGTTTGCTTCCTGTGGTAGGTGGTATTGCACTGGCTGGGATTTATGGGGGTGGCAAGGTGCGTATTATGTGTTTTTGTGTCGCATTGGGCATATAGTAGTCAAATATAAAAATATACAAAATATACAAAAATACAAAATAAAACAGGTACATTGTGTAGGTGTCTGACTTGAGAATTGCATCCCTCACCCTTAATCGATACAGGTATGTTTTAGTACTACAGTGTCTACTAAATAAGCATGTAAACAGATGCGGTATGTGTAAGACTAGCTCGGGAGTTACGTCTTATCATCATTACCGATAAAGGTGTATGTTAATGTCCCATTTTGCACAGGTCAGCAATTAAATAGATGCTTTGTGTGCATGTCTGATTGGGGGATTACAACATATCAATATTAACTGATAGAACTGAGGGCATATTTTGAGTTGAAGGTGCTTGGGTGAGATACTTGCGGTACCAGGAGGCAGTTTGGAGGATAGTCTATGTTATCAGCGTTTCTTTGTGACTCTGGACCAGTCCAGTCTAATTCTCCGTTGTGCACCTGTTGTCTGGTCGTCAGGTAAGTTGTCAAGGCCCCAGGATTTTAGCTTAAGGAGACCATCTTCCGGGGTGATTACCGGTATGAGTTTTCCATCTTTGTTTGCCAGGACTTTCGTTGGAAAACCCCAGCGGTAGCGGATGCCATTGTTTCTCAATATATCTGTAATCTGGGAGAAGTCTCTTCGCCTGCGGAGTGTCGCTGCTGAAAGGTCGGTGAAGAGTTTCACTGTGGGGTAGCTCTCAAGCGGCTCGGTTTTATTCCTGCAGGCCCTGAGGATAATTTCCTTGATGTGGTAATAGTGGACTTTGATCAGTGTGTCTCTGGAGACAGTGTCTGGTAGGTGTCTGGGCCGTGGTTCTCGGTGCATGTGGTCTATGAGCAACATGTCAGCAGGGATATCAGGCACGTAGGTATGGAGTAGGCCTTGGATATAGGCTGGTAGGTCTGCTGTTGTAATGTCTTCGGGTATCCCCCTAATGCAGATGTTGTTTCGTCGTGCTCGGTCCTCCAAATCTGCAAGTTTTGTTTCTGTTCGTTCTAGTTTTGCCTCCAATTCTTCCACATGGTCTGCTAGGTCATTGTGTGCGGAGGTAAATTCCTCCATTTTGGATTCCGTATGCGCTGTGCGTTGGCCGAGATCTGTAACGTCTTTGGGCAGGGAGTCCATTGATGCCTGCCATGATGATATTAATTTCCTGGAAAGATCATCCAGTGCTTTGGACAGGTAAGTTGTAGTGAGGGTACTCCCTTGGTTTTGTATTTCGGCAGTGCGCTGTGGGATTTCTGATCCCTCCATGCTGTCGCCATCTTTTTCTGAGGCCTGTTGTTCCACATGGTCAGAAGTGGATTTCTGCACGAAAAAATTATTTTTTTCCGTTTTAGCTGAGTTCTTCTTTGTCTTGTATTGAGACATTCTCTAGTTTTCATTGTTTTTGTAGCTCTGTATGTCAGGATGGCGATGGATTAAGAGCTCTGAAGCTGGAGATTATGCTTCCATCTCACTCGACTGCTAACCACGCCCCCGACCGACAGAGATTTTAATGTACCAGACAAAGTCTTTTAATGTCCCACAGTCTTTCAATGTCCCTGATAGAGCCTTTTAATGCCCCTGACAGAGTCTTTCAATGTCACTGACAGAGCCTTTTAATATCCCTAACAGAGCCTTTCAATGTCCCTAACAGAGAATTTCAATGTCCCTACCTAATCGAGCTTTCTATGTCCCTACCTAATAGAGCTTTCTATGTCCCTACCTAACAGAGCTTTCAATGAAAATAACAGAGTTTTAACTATCAGGTCCACTCTCTATCACTCCACTACCACAAGTGATAGGAAATGGCTGACGGCAGGGTGGGCAGGCTGATGGCAAGGCGGCCTATCCTCCCCCCTGAGCAGTGGGAGGGGGCCCTAAATACTAATAAGGGGGACCTAATGTTCTCCCCCTGGTCCCCACCTCTGAATGGTGGGTGGGGGCCCTAAATTAGAATAAGGGGGGCCTAATGTCCTCCCCCCGGCCCCCACCCCTGAGCAGTGGGTGGTGGCCCGAAATACTAATAAGGGGGGGACCGAATGTCCTCCCCCTGTCCCCCACCCCTGAACAGTGGGTGGGGGCCCTAAATACTAATAAGGGGGGGACCTAATGTCCTCCCCCCGAGCGGTGGGCGGGGGCCCTAAATACCAATAAGGGGGGGGACCTATTGTCCTCCCCCTGGCCCACACCCCTGAGTGGCAGGTGGGGGCCCTAAATAAAAAAATAACCCCCCCCCTCCCCCAGGTGACTAGGGGTCCCCATATTGGAAGTGGCTAGATACCATGGAACCCCAATTTTCTGGAACGCTGCACTAGTCACTTTTCTTTTTTAATTAATTGATTGCACACTGAGTTATTTTTAAATAGTTTAATATATGTGAAAGACTTTATAGCTTATTTGTATCACAAGTAACTTACCTTTATACAGTACATACTTTCACTTATTATTGTAACGGCACTCCCCCCCAGGCATAAAAGGGGTTAACAGCCATTTAGGAGATATTCCCTTCCAGATATACAGGCAGCTACTGTAGACACCAATCCACCGAACCGGAGAAGCATTCGAATGCTCTCAAACATACGAATGCTGTAAACAGTCGAATAGGAAAAACTATACGAAAGGTTTACACTCCTAGCAGTCGGACTGGAACAGCATACAATAAATCCCCCTCCCCCCCCCACAAGAACGAGACAAGGCTCCGTTTTGAGGGTCAAGCAGGATCTCGTTTACTGGGGCTACCTGCCCAGCTTTTATGCAGGTCTCCCACCTGTTGGACACTCCCCTAGGGGGCCAGATGGAAGACTGGGACACAAAGGGTAAAAGGACCAATCACAGACTTACACATTTCAACAATCCCACAATGCATCACAATCCCTCCTCTCTGGCCTGGAGATAATTGGGAAGTAATCCAATTATCTCCAAGGACAGAGGTAAAACTCCATTACACACATTTTCAGTAAAAAGAGATAAAATTACTGTGACGAAGTGCCCTTCGCCACTTGTGCCTGGAGAGGACTAATTGCCAGCCTCCTGCCATGTGACTATGGTCCCTGGGCTACTTTGCCAGTTAAAAAGACTATTTGGGCTTATTGGCTTTTAAAAGACTGTTTCTGCCCTTTGATTCCATGGGAGCATGTGTCTCTTCCCCTCCCCCTCTAATACTTATACCATTGTTCTCCAGCAGGGCGTTGTCCCAGGGACACTGCCAAACCAGTTGAAACAAGCTGTTTTGTCCCAAATAGGACTTTTACCTAACTTTTGAACTACTGGAGGGGACTACTGGCTAGCCTCCTGCCTTCCAACTATGGCCCCTGTGCTGATAGCTGTATTTTACCCTGCAATAAGGTTTATTTGGGTATTTCTGCCGGGTTGTTCGGGACTTTCAGTATGTGAGTAGTGCTACCCCAGATAGCTATGCCATGGAGCCAATTCGTGTAACGAAAGACTATGGAAAAGACTTTAGCTCCATGGCAATTGAATTGTATGTGTGTGATCTGAGCCCCATTCAATAATAATGTGCACTCAGATCTAAGCTATCTGGGGATATGTTGCATGTATCTGTTTTATGTAGTAATTGTAACATTGTGTAATTGAAGGTCTTTTTGTAACCATGTGGTTAATGGAGTCTTGCCTCTGTCCTGGGAGATAATTGGATTACTTCCCAATTATCTCCAGGATAGAGAGGAGGGATTGTGATGTCACTGTGGGAGTGTTTTGTTTGTATTGTCTGTGAAAGGCTGATATCCAATATGTGTCCCATTGTTCCATCATGTCCCCTAGGGGAGTGTCCACCTGGTGGACACTTGCATAAATACCTGGCAGGTAGCCCTCAATAAACCAGACCTACTTGAACCTTTCTTGAAGCCTTGGCTCATGCTTGGGGGATTGGATAACTACACTCTGGGGATTGCTATAATCACATACTCCCCAGAGTCAGCTCTTGCAAGAGCTTGTTTTGTTCCTGCTCTCTGGATTTAGGAGAGGTTCACCCACTGGAAGCTGGATCCTGGCCTTGGATCTAGGGTGGGTGAGAGAGGGCGAGACCCCAGCGCAGCTGCATCGCTGGAAGTGGGGTCTGCAGTGCTGATGGTGTCGGTTGGAGTGCTCAGAGTCCTCGGCAAGCGCTAGGAGCATCGATTGGCGGAGGTACTCAGTCGGAGTGCCAGCGTTCCGCCACAATTACATCCGGTTACATTTATCGCATAAAACATACACCTTTTACATATCCCCAGATAGCTTAGATCTGAGCGCACATTATTACCGAATGGCGCTCAGATCACATACATAGAGTTAAATCGCCAAAGTCTTTCTCATAGTCTTTCGTTACATGAATAGGCTCCATGGCATGACTATCTGGGGTGATGCTGTTCATACGGTTAAACTACCGAATGAACAGTCATTTGGTTCCACTACCGAATGCAGAGGTAAGGAGGCTGGCGGCTCAGCGGTGTTCGCGCAAATAAGTGTCCGTTTCCAGTTCCATAGTTTGGGCGCTCAACACCGCTGGCCGTTCAGGAGTTAAAATGGCCGCTGCCACGTGTTTCGGCAAACGAACAAAGGCCACCCAGCATTCGTCAATTAAGCTGCGGTTAACCGCAGCTTCTGGGCGGTCAATTGACAGCACACTCCAGTTCTCAGGTGGCCGATCGTTCGGTACTTTGTTCGGTAGATTGAATCTACCGAACACCCCGGCAGAAAGGCACGAATACGCCTTTCTGCAGGGAAAATAAAAGGTTTTAAATGCCGGGCCATAGTCTAAAGGGAGCAGGCGAGCAACCAGGCTCCTCCATTGGACAATGGCGAGGCTGGTTCCACCACAGTTATTTTTAACATTTATATAGTGCCTCCATTTTTCACAGCAATGTACATTAGGTAAAACAAGACAAACAATGCCAACAAAACAAGTTTTACAGAGAGGAACAGTATGTGAAGAGGGCCGTGCCCAAATTGGCTTACATACAATAGGGATTTTTAACAATAAACAAGTTACAGACAAAAAAAAAAAAATGTTAAAAGACACTAGGGCTAGAGGTCCTGCACAACAGAGTTTATAATCTCAGAGAAATAGTAAATAAAACCAAAAGGAAGAACATTGTCTCAGAAGATGGGGTTTAAGAAAACAGGGCAACGTCCAGTTAGATAGAAGAGAAGCAATTGGTAACACATTCCAGGAGGGCAGGAGAGAGATCATGGTAAGAGAGGCAATTTTAGTGTCATCGGCATATGGATGGTATGTAGATTATACTGAAATCCGAAGGAGCTAATAAAGTTACCCAAAAGAGGAGGTGTAAATAGAGAAAACAGGAGAGGTTGAAGCAGAGTTTTGGGGGGGAGAAGGAATAGGTGCTAATGCAGGAAGTGAAATATACTTAATTGGCAATGGAGAGGGTGCAGCTACGAGAATATGGCAAGAATTTGTAGTGGAGGATGTCTGTTGTGTATCTTTTATACTGGAGGAAGTCTGTTGTCAGCCAGGGGAGGTTCGGCTAGGGCTGTAAAAGTAAAGTAATTTAATAACAAAATGGTAAAAAAATTAAACAGTAAGACTGCAGGGGCATGATCTATTCAACAAACCAACTTCATTAAGTGGTTTAGGTGTTTAGACTGACCCTTAGACACACCCAGGTAATCCCTAAACCCTGGATTGGTAGGGGGTCCTGAGGACTAACGTTGAGAACCCCTGCTTTAGATCTTGGTTTCAGTGTGTCTTTGGCTTGGGGTGTCATGAGCTAAACCCTGCTTTGCTCTGGAGGACCTTTCTTTAATTCAATTCTCTAAATATGCCTCTTAATGTCCAGAGGGAAAGACAGTCCTTTAACCCCTTAAGGACACACGACATGTGTGACATGTCAGGATTCCCTTTTATTCCAGAAGTTTGGTCCTTAAGGGGTTAAGCCACAGTTCCCCAAAGGTTTTTTCAACAAGGGGGTTTTTCATCTCCTGAGTGTTGAAGGATGACGCTTAGTGAGTCCAGAGATTCCCCACATATTGGCTGTCTTCTTGGCCAAATCAGTAAAAATATCTAGGTTATATTTAAACCATAAATCCATTATCTTGCTTTAAGAGGCAAGAAATGGACTATAATTTTGTGAACTGTTCTTAATAAATGTAACATCAATTTAAGTATTTGTTTCATTTTGACTTTTATTTAATGAATTAGTTGGTTTGATCTTTAGGAACTGGGAGGGAATCTGATATAAACACTGTGCAACCATCCATATTTGGAGGTATAGTGGCGAATGTTTATGGGGGCACTTTGGTACTTAATATGGCTAACGTACGAGAAGTTATCCATAGTGGGGATATGTTGAGGGAAGGGCAACATAAAATAAATCTTGGAATGTAAAATGTTTAGTATCCTGACACAACGCTTAAGAAAATGTAAAAAAATATATTGTGTTTTGAATCAAAAAGAGTGTGGAAACACCAGAATGTATTAGTTCACTGAATGTGTAGTGGATATCTGAACAAGAGGGGTAGAATAAAATACAGAAAGGACATTTAAATACATGTAAAATAGTTAGTTATTGAGCTATCCTGAACATATCTAAGGACTAAGTGTGTAATGTGGTGTAAACGTATGTTTTTTAAAACATTCTGCATCTGAACTGCCCATTTGGGTAAAAACAGACCAATAAGCAACTTGCATAGGTTTGCTCTGTAATGATACATGTAAACCTAGCATGAGGTTACAGCAGGGGTTAACCATGGGGCAAGCTATGAAGTTAAATATGTCGTAAGAGGATCCACAAGTACCCAACACTTGAAGTGGGTAATGTGTAGGTTATACTTAGGCAGGAGCAGCCTCGGTTTATAACATCTGACTTCCATCATGAGTATTTCTGTTATGTTTCCTGAGTTCATTGTACTTTAGCAAATGGAAGTAGTTTGTAGGAGATCAAATTAATTTGTTTCAGTGAAAACGCTAATAATATGCATAAGGAAGATCTAGTGTCAACCAAGTACCTTAAAACTACCTCTAGATTAAATCGGCTCTATCACTTATGGGATCCCTTGGCTGCCAGCTGAGGGATCCCATTCCTCCCACCTCTCCACACCCCCAAACATTTGTAGACCAACTTGCCCTTTTTTTGATGTGCCAGTCCTGCTGGGTCTTCTTTTACAACACCATCATCATAAAGTATCTAATGCAGTTCTCTTTCTTTCTTGAGGCATGCTCATAAAAAACGGTGCTTACACGGACCCTAGTTGACTCTCATGATTGTGTGAGTAATAACTTGACTTCCAATTACAAAATTGACAAAGAACTTAGAGCTTAACTAAAGCTTCACCCTTTGTCAAGGTTTGTCAACATGCAGGTTACACATAAGGAAAAGCAGTCCCTACTTATCTAGAACTTTGCAAACAAATGACATTTTTAAAAAAGGGAGGGGGGGGACAAGAGGGGGGGCATGCCTTTATATAAAAAAAGTAATTGCCAGAAAGGATACCATACTCTCTTGGATCCCAGGGTGCACTCGGGCCTGAGGTTGACCAGTCCTCAATGTAATTTTCAGAAAAAAAATTGGTGCAGATTAAATCAACGTTTCGGCTCACAAAAAAAGTCCCTGTTGTGGGCTGAAACATTGCTTTTATTTGCTACAATAAACCTGCTAACTTTGGATTTAGCTTTAGTGCCTGAACTAACATTTATTTTTCTAAAAATGATATATAAAAAAGTGACATGTACATTTTAATTTGTTGCATATACTACAAAAACTCAGCCTCTATGTTGCAATCTATTTTTTTTCTTATGAAACAAATCTATGTTTTAGATAGCTGAAAACAATTGTTAGAAGGGCACTATAAGCATTAAAACCACTACAACCACTAGAGATATCTGCAATACCAATTTTGTTCAAGTTTGGATGGAATTTATTGACACTCTGACAGCCAATGGCTTCTGTTCAGCTATGAAAGGAATGCAATTGCTAATGGACCCAACATTAGTGTAAAACTGCATTAAACCAATTGACATGTAATAGTGGAACTGTTGCATCATAACCACTACTGCAGAATGTAGTGCTTATGGTGCTAAGAATGCCACTTTAAGACTAATGGAAATAAGGAAAGCCACAAAATTCACTGGTACTATTCTCTGTAGAATATATGGTCAGATGAAGGGAATACAATCTACACATAAATTCATATTCTCTGCCTTAATGTTGTACAGTTTTAATTAATCAAAAATATTGGACACACAAAAATAACTAACAATCAAATAATTCTAATGATTTTACAACCAAAGTAATACTACTAGAAAAATTAGTTAATGGTGCGAATTAGCTTGGCTAAGTAGATAGGGCTCCAGCTGCTGTATAACAGGGTCACAGGCTCAATCCCCTACAAATTCAACTAAGCCACTTCTCCTTTTGTGGTCAATAAAATGAATATAATAAGTTACACAATATCAAGAACACAACTGAACATATCCAGAACATAACTGGGAACTGACAAGAAACTAACAAATTATGTTTGCTAAATACTTTGATATTATCATTTTTGTTAAGTAATGTAATGCCACTTCTAAAAACCTTTAAATAACTTTTAATGTGCTTATAAAAAGTTTATTCATTAGGAGAGCTATAATCTTTACAAGAAGACGTGCTGTGCCAATGTAGATTTCTTGTACATAATAAAGTGGTAAACACACCACTTTTCAAAAAATTATACCTTTGGATAAAACATTGAAAATCACCTATAGCTTGTGTAAACGGTTCTTATATGATGGTCCATTTTTCAAATAACATCATATTTCAGCTTAATAAAGTAAAGCCAGGGCACACATAGCAAATAAGGAGCAGAATAGAACCATTAGTTAATTTCGCCTCGTCTCTGTATGCTATCTCTATACCAACTGCCAGGTGCAAATTACAGAACTTATAATAATGATTGACAGAGAGCTAAGCTGTTAGAGGACGGTGGTTGCAGGATAACAAGGTTTTGATTATAGATATTTGTTAAACGCAGTGTATATTTAAACATTATAATAGAGATATTGGGAGGTGACAGCCCACTAGAAAAAAAAGCTAGTTTAAGGCTTTCAGCTCTCTATTCTTTCTATGAAACAAATCAATTTTTCATTGAGAGTCATGGAGACTCTCCACAAAAGATTGAAAGCCAGAGTATATGAAATCTGCTTACCAAATGTTTCACTGCTGAAATATGTGGCCACAACAATTGGACAAATGAATACATCCCATCATATTATCAGATGTTATGTTATACTTTTCTTATTTACTATGGTCCTTCTTGCTGCCTAATGCAAAGGCCAAGAGCAGTGGCGTACATACCAGGGTCGCAGGGGTCGCGGCTGCGACCGGGCCCGGCCCACCAGGGGGCCTGGCCGCCCCTGCGACCCGGTATGTACCCACAGGGCCAGCCTCTTCTCCTGGGGGGCCCAGGAGGCGACCATCTCAGGGCCCCCCCGAGGCTGGCCCTGCTGACCCCAGCGGGCGGGCGGGCTGTCTGGGTGGCCGGTGCACGAGGGAGCACTCAGTGCTTCCTCTTCAGCTCCCTCGCGCGCCGCACTGATACTGGAGCCGGAAGATGACGTCATCTTCCGGCGCTGGCATCCCTACGCGGTGCGCGAGGGAGCTGAAGAGGAAGCACTGAGTGCTCCCTCGTGCACCGGCCACCCAGACAGCCCGCCCGCCCAGGAGCCCAGCAGCACCACTGGACCCCAGGGAATCCCCCCAGCACTCCAAAAGGTAAGAAGGCTGGGGGGATTAAATTTAAAAAAAAAATCAATTTTCGCACCGGGGCCCCATGGGTCATGTGTACGCCACTGGCCAAGAGCGTAATAAGGGAGTCCCACTTTCGGTTGTCCAAACCTCCCTGAGCACCGTCTGTGATCCCTAGGTGTCTTTTGTTCTGCTTCCACGGAAAGGCAGCTAAGTTTGGAATACTGGTGCTTGTACAACCTTCACTTACCTATAAGTTTGAGGACCAGGTTGTTTGTGCGACTACGCAATCCCTTACCGCTGGGGCCCAGGTTGCAGGTTCAACATCCAACCTAAATGCAAACTCTTCCAGCTTTCCACCATACTAGGAGAAACTATGTCTCTGCTATGGTACTTTCACTGCTAACTTTGAACCCTACCAGACGATACAGAAAACTTCCGAATATTACCTGTGACATTAACAAAATTCAACCATTTTGTCCTTCTGCAAGACCACTGACTAAAACCCAGCAATCTTCTATGTCTGTTACATAAGGAGGACAGTGTACACTGGACAGTGTATATAATTTACACAAATGGACACTGACCTTTCTGACATTGCTTGAATAGGCCCAGGTGAAATGTTGGAGTATCCAGTAGATGTGCATCACCTTCTCCTAGACTAGAGTCATCTGTGTCTGATCACAGTGAGACAGGCATACAAGTTTAAGGTGCTTTTTACTTAATTATTAGATTTGAGATAATCTGACCAATCTGTGCATATACATTTTATAGTCAGTGTTGAAGCCCCTACCCCAGCTGATACAGTGTGTGTCTGTGTGTGTGTGTGTGTATATATATGTCTGGGTGTCTGTATGTGTGTTGTAGTCTGTCTCTAAGTGTGTGTCTCAGGTAGTGTGTTTATATGTGCGAGTGTCTTTGTGTATGTGTATCTATGTCTATGTACGCTTGTGAAACAGAGTCATCTTTAAATTGCAGAGTCTATCAAGGTATCAGATCTGCCACCCCATCATCTAAATACACCAACAACCCCCACTGGTCATATATAGTTCACACTGACCCCCCCTCCCCTCCCATCCTAGGCTATTCATTGAGCACTTTTCTTCCTGGCTTCCCCACTTCCTCTCATCTAGCACTCCTTCCCTTATACTTGGGGATTTCAATATCCCAATCAACAACCCCAACTGCACTCTTGTCTGCTCTCTGTAACCTTCTCCTTTGGCCTTACGCAATGGTCCAATTTAGCAACCCATACAGCTGGAAACACTCTTGATCTCTCCTTAACCAATCTCTGTGCCACCTCTAATCTCTCCAATATTCCTTTGTCTCTATCTGACCACCATCTGCTGACTTTTGACATCGTCATACTTAAGACCTAATTGACACCACCGTCTGTACATAAATCTCACAGAAACCTCCAATGTTTTGACCTTGAGCATTTCACCACTAATCTCCAAACTCCTTTTACCTATCTCAAACCTCACCTGTCCCAGCTCTGCAATCTCCTTCTACAATTCCACCCTCTCCTCTCAACTAGACATCATGGCACCTCCTACATTTAAACGCAGCAAGCGCCCCCAACAACAACCTTGGCACACCAAGCTGACTTGAGATCTCCAAAAATGCTCCAGAACTACTAAACGCTGTTGGAGAAAGTCTCACTGTGCGCCTGATTTTCTTCACTATAAATTTATGCTGCACTCATACAGCTTGGCTCTTTCCTCTGCAAAAGTAAATTACCTCAATACCCTCATTACCACACTCTCCTATGAACCCAAACAACTATTTCACACATTTAACTCTCTTCTACGCCCTATTGTTCCTCCTCCACCTACTAACTTGACTGCCTCAGACTTTGCAACTCACTTCACGGACAATATCTCTACAATCAGGGAAGAGATCTCTCATCTTTCTTCTTCCCCTTACAATACTTCACCTAACCTCACTCCCTCTGCTGTTGTACATTCATTTGCACCCGCTACAGCGGAAGAGGTTTCTGCTCTGCTCCAGTCCTCCCGCCCCACCACCTGCACCCTAGATCCAATCTCATCCGTACTCTGTCTTCTTCTCTTTCTCTACCTTTCACTAAAATTCTCAATCTCTCTCCTCTGGCATATTTCCATCGCCCTTCAAACATGCAACTGTAACCCCAATTCTAAAGAAGCCCAACCTTGGCCCTAACTCCCCATCCAATTACAGTCCTATCTCGCTACTGCCTTTTGCATCCAAGATCCTTGAAAGAGTTGTGTATGCGAGATTTTGCAAGACCCGCTTCAGTCTGGTTTCCGCGCTAAGCACTCTGTGGAAACAGCACTGACCAAAGTATCCAATGATCTACTCGCTGCAAAATCTCGTGGTTACTACTCTATCCTAATTCTCCTTGACCTTTGTGCGGCTTTTGACACTGTTGATCATCAGCAGCTTCTTCCTTTCCTCCGCAATATCGGTCTACAAGATATTGCTCTCTCCTGGTGCTCCTCCTACCTCTTCCAGGGCTTCTTTCTCTGGCTCTGCTTCTTCTCCCCAACTCCTCTCTGTTGGTGTCCCCCAAGTTTCAGTCCTTGGTCCGCTACTGTTCTCCATCTATACTGCCTCCCTTGGTAAACTCATTAGCTTCTTTGGCTTCCAATATCATTTCTATGCGGATGACACGCAAATCTACTTGTCCTCTCTTGAGCTCTCCCCGTCCCTCTTGACAAGTGTCTCTGATCGCCTCTCTGCTATTTCTAACTGGATGGATGTCCACTTCCTTAAACTCAACTTGACCAAAACTGAAATTCTGGTCTTTCCTCCCTCAAGTGTTGCTACTCCTGTGTCCTGTCTGTCTCCAAGTCAACGGTGCAAACATCATCTCCACCACAGAGGCTCGCTGCCTAGGTGTTCTCTTTGACGCCAACCTCTCCTTCACGCCTAATGTTCAGTCTATCGCCAAATCTTGCTGGTTCCATCTCAAAAACATTGTGCGCATCCGACCCTACTTAACACCAGATGCGACTAAGGTGCTGGTTCATTCCTTTGTCCTTTCTCGCCTTGACTATTGTAATCTGCTTCTCAGTGGCCTTACATGCTCCCAACAGCTCCCAGTCCATAATGAATGCGACGGCGGGGCTCATCTTCCTGTCCGCCCACACCTCACCTTTCTGTCAGTCCCCACATAGGCCTCCTGTAAAGATATAGGGCTCAATTTAAAATTATGGTTCTTGCTACATAATGCTGCTCCTATCTATCCTTCCTAATACACAAGTGTGTCTAGGCCCTTACGCTCTGCTGAAGACTTACGTCTATCTTCTGTCCATACTCCCACCACTGATGCTCGCCTTCAAAATTTCTCGAGGGCTGCACCGTTCTTGTGGACCTTACTTCACTTCTCCGTTAGATCCTCACCCAGTCTCCACTCCTTCAAAAAAAAAAAAAAATCATTAAAAACCCACTTCTTCACTGACCGCTGAACAGAGCAGACCTCAGACATTGCAGCTCCTGCAAAAACCATCAAATATTACTAAATATCGGCAGATAAAAGCTATTAATCGACACCTATCACTCACTAGGTGGTCAGGTACAACACGGTGTTCATGAAGACACCAAACAAGTGGACTTTCACAAGAGAATTGCCCGATCAGAAAGTGCAGCCTACTGGCTCTGGGCGGGAGAGGCGGCCGATCTCCCATAACAGAGCTGACGGGCCATCAACAATATCGAGCAGATGTCCCGCTACCCCCCCCTCTGGACCGGTGGGGGTGATCCCGGTCCCACCCCCCCCGAGTGGATACCCTAACAGGAGTCCGGGGAGACACCATGATGACATGCGTTCCACCAGCCTCAAAGCTACAGCACCTACTGCCATGACTCTGCTGGAGAAAATTTTCGGGGATTTCTGGCAGAAGTAGAAAGCAGGCTGCCTCGGGCCACCCCACAGCGGTTGAGTGTTCCCACAACGCAAGTCGCAATAGAGACGACTACATACCCACCCAGAGTGCAGTCTGTGCAACTCGACCGGGAACCCAGGAAAACTGCGTACAAGGCGCTGGAGCAGGCCCCAAAATGGCAGAATTGTGCACGGCGTCCCCATCTAAGAATCAGTACAAAGCAGCACGGAAGAAGGAGCCACGGAGGGGGCCGAAGCTACAAGCACGCATGGGACCCACAACACAAAGTAGATCGCCGGCTGCTGGACAACGGCGCAGTGAAGCTTCCCAAGCTTCAGATGTTGCCCATCAAGCTACAGTGGCACAACGACGCTGGAGGAGACCCAAGGTGGAGCGGAGGGTTGGTGACCCATTAAGGTGCAGCACAACTACTCTGCACCACAAACCAAGTAAGCCACTGCTACCGCTAGCAAAGCTCAGACAGACGTTGGACACCTTGCCGGAATACTATTGTAAACTTACCTGCCCCCACTCCTGCGGGCTGCTGGGCCTGACACCGGGACTCTCATGGCAGAACTTAGTCTGACTCCAACGGGGAATTGGCTGACCCTACAGATGAGCTGAGGATTCTCCCACCCCTGGTAAGTAGTTCCAAGGGCACCCTCAACAGACTCAGAAGTTTTTCTTTTTTTTTTTTAAGTGCCTTTTTGTCTTGCACGAGTGGGACTCACAATTTAAGGGTCTTGAGGGCCTCCGAGGGGTTATTCGCATTTGTAGTCACTCCTGATGCATATACCCTATTGCTGTTTAAACCTTTTTTTTTTTCTTAGTTTTTATATGCACTGAGCTTTCCATGCCTATACTTAATCCTTCTCATGTATAGACAACATCGCTGATAGCCAGTATATAATGTTCTGAGACGTTTGCCTCGCATGGTTATACCTTTGTATTACTTAGCATCTGAGCACGCATACTAATGGATAGGTCACTGTGTCACGAGAATTGTTAATCTCTATAACAAGAGCAACATGATTGCCAAGCAGGCTATATCTATGCCTATTTGTTATAACATACTGCCTGGACCAAGCATACTGTCGACTACACACTAGGCTGTGTCTCATACTTCTGTCTGACTGCACACTGCAGTACTATGCTCGCCATGATTATTCATTAGTCCCGGACCTTCCTAAGCACAGATACCTATCATCCAACCCACTACTACTAAGCTGATCGTGTAAAATAAACTAATGTCCCTCGCCTGTTTCCTACTGTTGCGACACTCAGCTACTCTACCTAGTGTACTATTCATCACGTCTTGCATGTTTAGCGTTTTATGTTTTTTTTCTTGAAAAAAGTATTTCCAACTGTCATGACCTACAATTAGACGTGTATGCATAGCCTGCCTCTATGTACACCTAAAATGTGCCATTACTCTAATGTCATATGTGTGAAACTCTGTGTTATTGTAGTGCTTACATACGCTGTTGTGGCAATGTAAGATGTTTTGTTACTTCATGCACAACAAAAATAAAGAATTTTAAAATAAAAAACAAAACAAAAAAAAAAACACTTCTTCATAGAAGCGAATCAGTTAAACTGTTAATAGCTCCCGACTGATTCCTCTTTTGCAACTGTCATTAGTCTAATACTATCCTTACCTTTTGTGTCACTTTACCCCACTCCCTCTAGCATGTAAGCTCATTGAGCAGGGCCCTCAACCCCTCTGTTCCTGTGTGTCCAACTTGTCTGGTTACAACTACATGTCTATTCGTCCACCCATTGTAAAGCACTGCGGAATTTGACGGCGCTCTATAAATATCATAATAATCATAATAATAATAATAATATGGTTATTAGGTTTGGTTAAGCAAGTAATAATCTAATATTTAAACCTAAGATGTATTGAATTCTGTTTACACTGTAATTTATTTGACTGATAAAAACAGTCTCTGGACTATTTTAGACAGTATCCTGTGTGTATTGTATATTTTTGGCTATCTCTGCATTTCTCACAATAAATACCATAAATTAACCATTGTGTAATATTTTTGTCTCATTCAGAAGATTACCAGAAGAGTTTAATTACATTTGCAAGATGAAATGTTACTAAACACATGCACACTTATTAATTACCTTGAAGGTAGTAGCTGGAGTGCCTAGTATATTTATGAATTACCAAGAGAAGCTTAAAGCGACAAGTTCGTGCTGATGAAATATAACGTTTAATATTAGTTCAAAAGTAATAGAAATGAATTTGTTATTGAACAATTAATGCCAAAGTGCTTTATATCTCCAGAGATCTTTAAATAAAAACTAGCAAGCAATTAGAAATGCAACTTATGACATTAAAGGAACACTATAGGGTCAAGAACACAAACATGTATTCCTGACCCTATAGTGTTAATACCACCATTTAGGTGGCTTGCCCCCCACTTAACCCTCTTAAAAGGTAATAACACTTACCTTATTTCTAGCGCCGTGCTGGCCCCGCCCTGATCCGCCTTCTTGCTGACATCATGAGAATTTTTTTTTAAATTGCCAACCCAATGCTTTCCCGAAATCTATAAGGAGGTAGGGCCAAATGTCAGCTTGACCAATCAGTATCTCCTCATAGAGATGCATTAAAGCAATGCCTCTCTATGAGGAAAATTCAGTGTCTTCGTGCAGTGCGTGGAGACGCTGAAAGGCATCTGAGGAGTGGCCACTTGGAGGTATCCCTAGGGAGCAAAGTAAACACTGCCTTTTCTCTGAAAAGGCAGTGTTTACATGAAAATGTCTGCAGGGAATGATTATACTCACCAGAACAACTACATAAAAAGGGTCATAAAAAGCAGAAACAGTTCTTTCTTCCAATATGAGGAAAGCTTTATTTAGCAAGCTGGCCCCAATTGAGCCACAGCAAAACATGAAAACCAAAATAAACACCTACTCCACACTGGAGACTAACATAGAGTACCCTTTCTATGCTACTGGGCAGCTAAGCTGACCCCAGTAGTTTAACAAATAGAAATAAAGGTCTTTCAAAATACCTTTTTGTTCCCACACAGTTTCAGCAGTCTTTTTGACTCACAGTCTCTGTCTCCACCCCAGCTCTTCACAGTAGAGACTGGTTTCCCTCTGCATAGGGTTTACGTAGCTCCCTAATTGATGTACTAGAGCAACCTGATTTTGAATCCCCTCTAGTCAGGGAACACTGAAAGTGCCATTCTGGGGCTAATATAGCAGTGTTCCTTTTCACACTGCCACAATACACACACACACACACATATATATATATATACATATATATATATATTACATAGTTACATAGTTGAAAAGAGACTTGCGTCCTTTAAGTTCAACCTTACTCACATATGTTTTTGCTGTTGATCCAAAAGAAGGCAAAAAAACCTAGTCTGAAGCACTTCCAATTTTGCCACAAACTAGGAAAAAATTCCTTCTTGACCCCAAAATAGAAGTCAGATGTCTCCTTAGATCAAGCAGGTATTACCCCACTAATTAGAAATTATATCCCTGTATGCTATGTTTTTGTAAGTATTTATCCAATTGCAGTTTAAACATCTGTAATGACTCTGACAAAATTACCTCTTCAGGCAGAGAATTCCATATCCTTATTGCTCTTACTGTAAAAAAACCTTTTCTTTGCCTTAGATGAAATCTCCTTTCTTCCAGCCTAAATGTGTGACCTATATATATATATATACACACACAATGTTGATAGATTGTATTAGTTTTTTTCAAAAACACCTAATCTAGGCAAAAATAATGGGGGTTTAGTTGCAGTATATGACCATACATTGCATAAGCCTGCCACAACGTCAATGTACCCCATCTTTGGCAGGTCCTACTCTAACAGCCTAATGTCTGCTCTTATGAGATTAATACACTTACTTGGGGAAAAAATTCCATCTGGGGCACTCTGCAGTACAAGGCTAAATAGGGCCCTGGGATGAGGCACCTGTGACAGGTGAAATTGGCCTCCAGCAGCACCCCATTAACTATTAATGCATGTTGAGGTGAGTGAAGCCCCCTGGTTTCCTGTGTATATATATATACGTACACATACACACACACATATACAAGGTCTATCCGGAAAGTATCCAGCCATAATATGAAAAACAGAGAAGAAAGTAGATACACGAGAAACAAAACATTGTACCTAGGACAATAACGCCTCAGTCCCCTTCAAAGTAGGCACCTTGGGACCTCATACAGTTCTTCCAGCGTCTCTTCCACTGCAAAATTCTTTGTTGGAATTGTCATTAGCTGCCTCATTGTATTTACTGGAATCTCATGGGAGGTCTGAAATAGCTTCCCTGTCAAAGGTGATTTAAAGTTTGGGAAAAGACCGAAGTCGCAGGACGTCAAATCTTTTTTGTGCCACACTTTTATTTACTCTGCACTCATTTTGTCGTCCCCGAAAACCTTACGAATTATCCGAATAGTTTCCGCGGAGGAATGTTCAAGATTAACACAAAATTTGATGCAGATTCGTTGTAATATATATTAGACTAGTGTATTTGACTAGTGTATTCGGTTTCAAACAAAAGGTGATATCCATCTCTCTGCTCAAAATATTTTAATCCAGTTTTCAATTTTAAATCTCGTTTTTGTCCTTTTTTGTTTTGAGGCTCACTTCTATTTAATTCATGGGGGTGGGGTACTAACCCAATCTCTTTTTAATGATTAAATAAAGAAAATGTCAAGTGTCTATTTTTAATCTGCAAGCATTGCATTTCCTGCTGCTTTGCACCATAACACTGGAGGGAATCCAACGCAGCACTATTAGAACTGCTCTACTGACACAGATTTAAGGAATCAATTAGGCAGAGGTTTTAAGTGTTTTTTTAAAGTGTAACATAGCTAAGGTTTCCAACGTTTACCTATTGAGAACCAATATTAGTTTGCAGTGTTATAACAAACGAGTTATTTTGGACACCATTTCATTTTAAAACCTAAATTAGCTGGTGTTGAGAGTTTTAGGCTATTTCATGATGGTGATAAATAGTTCATCACAATTCATCAGTGATACATTGTAATTCAAAAGCAACCATCAGGGTAGTTCAGGCAGTAGTACGATGATGAACCATTGGGCCAATAGTGCAGTAGGGGAGATAGAATGAAATGGTGCAATAGAGGAGATAGAATGAAATAGTGCAGTAGGGGAGATAGAATGAAATTCTATAATCTGTCAAGTGGCATAGAAGCTGACCATTTTTCAGAATTAACCTCACGGACAGTAAAAACCAAAGAAAAAGTTACCTGCGCTCTCTCCTAAATCCCTGTATGTATATGTAAAATGTAAACAAAAAATATTAAACCTCACAGACAGCAATAGGATGTGTTCTCCTATCACTTGTTCCCATCATTGCCACCTAGTGAAGCGAAGATTAGGCAGTGTGAGAGGAGTAGATAATGCTTTGATAAGAGGGAATCCATGCTACATAGGAATTGAGGGAAATCTGTGAGCATGTCAAGGGAGGGGCAGATGGTCTGATTTTGTGGGAATGGATTAGGAAGGAGAGGAGGAAAAAGATGGAATCTAGATGGCTGGGATGGAAAGAAGCAAAGGGGTTGGGTATATATGTATGTATCTATGTGTGTGTTTGTGTGTGTACAGTCTATGTATTTGTTTCTGACAGCCAATATCTATGTGGGTGGGTGTGTCCCATAGTATTGATGTGTATGTGACTATAATAATCTGATAAATAATTTAGAAGAGTGCATGTCTATTTGTATTTGTCTGGAATTGTGTATGGCAGTGTATGATTGTATGTGTGTCTGGCTGAATGCATTTATGTGTGATTTTGGCGTTCTTGACTGACAGCTTTGTAGAGATACCTAGATTTCTGATAGCAGCCCTGATAGTGACAAGGATACAGCCCATTTAATGTTCAGAAATAATACAAAAATGAATGCAGATCATGAGCACAGACTCAGACATTGAGGAAAGCTAAATAACATGGGCTTTGATTTAATTCTATCGGCAAAAAGCAGTCAATAATTATGGACGGTTTTCGGTCAATTTTGTTTCATCTGGATTTACTTGAATATTTTCACGCAAGTCTCAAGAGAAGAGACTTAGCTGTCAGAGCCCTCCTGTTGGTTTACAAACCAACCAATGAGAGTGCTCTGACTAAAATTACTTGGCAATGGAAAGTTCTTGTAAGTGCCTTTCCTGCCATGCAAGCTCATTATGTGCAGAGCCCTCCATGGGTTCACATGAATTAATTTCATGTCACAATTAGTGATGTCCCGAATGGTTCGCCGAACGGTTCGCCGCAGATTCATCATTGAGTAAACTTTGACCCTGTACCTCACAGTCAGCAGACACATTCCAGCCAATCAGCAGCAGACCCTCCCACCTCCTGGACAGCTCACCAAGAATGCAGCTTCACAATGAATGTAAAATGGATGCTGTCCAGGAGGTGGGAGGGTCTGGGAGGGAGGGTCTGCTGCTGATTGGCTGGAATGTGTCTGCTGACTGTGAGGTACAGGGTCAAAGTTTACTCAATGATGAGTCCGTGGCGAACCGTTCGTG